ACTGCACTCCAGCCGCCTGAGCAATGAAGCGAGACTCTGTCTCAAAAAAAAAAAAAAAAAAAAAGACTGCTGATTTCTGCTACTATCCTACAACTGGTGCACAAGAGTTACTAAAGAAGGCTGAGAAGACTGACAGGGTGATAAAATAATCAAGACCCCAAAATACATAATATCAGATTCGACATTTTACTGAAATCTAAATTATCTTTTCTATCAATTACCTTATAAAATAACAGCAAATTCAGAACACAAATACATCATGAGCATAAAGATATATGAAACAAATATAGAATTATTTTACATTAGCCAAGCACTCAACTTTGTTTTTTTAATCAAATTTACTGGTATGTAATTTATATACCAAAAAATGTACCCACTTTAAGCATATTTTTTGATGAGTTTTAAGAAACGTATACACTCATGTAAATACAACCACAACCATCACAATAAAGAACATTTTTGTCAATCTAAAAAGTTCTCTGTGCCCCTTTCTCAGGAAACCTACCCCAACTGATGGCCCCAGACAACTATTGATTTTTTTTGTCACTATAGATTAATTTGTCTTTAGACAGAGTTACAAAATTGGAATCAGACGGTATGTACTCTTCCTGACTTCTTTCTCTTAGTATAAAGTTTTTGAGATGACAATCATTTCTTTTTATTGTTCAATAGAATACTATTGTATGGATATACCGCAATTTATTCATTCATTCACTTGCTGATGGGCATTACATTGTCCCAGTTCATGGACACGATGAATAAAGCTGCTAGAAACATTGTTGGAACAATCTTTGTGTGGATGTATGTTTCATTTCTTCTGAGTCAGTATCTAGGAATAAAACTGTAAGACTGTACAGGAAAGTGTATATTTAACTTTATGTGAAGCAGGCCAGGCACAGTGGCTCACGCCTTTAATCCCAGCACTTTGGGAGGACGAGGCAGGAAGATCACGGGAGGTCAGAAGTTCAAGACAAGGCTGGCCTACGTGATAAAACCCCATCTCTACTAAAAATACAAAAATTAGCTGAGTGTGGTGGTATATGCCTGTAATTCCAACTACTCGGGGGCTGAGGCAGGAGAATTGCTGGTACCCAGAAGATGAAGGTTGCAGTGAACAGAGATCATGCCTCTGCAGCCCAGCCTGGGCATCTCAAAAATAAAAAATAATGAAATGAAATGAAGTAACTATTTGAAACAGCCAGTTTGCCAAGGAGATAAAGCTATTTTATATTTTCATGAGCAATGTAAAAAGTTACACTTATTCTACTTCTTTGCCAATACTTGATATTGTCAATCATTATTTCAAAAATGTTAGCGTTCTAGTAGCTATGTAATAGTATCTCATTGTGGTTTTAATTTGAAATTTCTTGATAACTAATAATGTTGAGCAGCTTTTTGTTTGCTCCTTGGCAATTCATATATCTTCTTTTGTGAAGCATCCACTCCAACTTTTTACACATTCTTTAAATGAAGAGTTTGTTTTCTCCCTACTGAGTTATAAGAGTTCTATATCCCAGAAACAAGTCCTATGTCAGATACAAGCACTGGAAATATTTTCTCCCAGTATGTGGCCTGACTTCTCATGTTCTCAATTACACCTTTTAAAAACCAGAAGTTTTCATTTGTATCAACTGACCACATTCATGTAAGTCATTTCTATATCACATATTATTTTCATTGATCCACGTATGTCTATCTTTACACTAGTGCTATAAAGGTATAACATTCAAAAATGCAGTAAGGGGTGAAATTAGTAATGTAAGTTCCCTATGTTTTATTACATAAAATTATTTTGGCTAGTCCAGAGTCTTTGCTTTTCCATATAAATTTTAGAATAAGCCTGTCAATTATCTCAAAAGGAAGCTTGCTGGGATTTTGATTGGAATTGCATTGAGTTTACAGATCAATTTTGGGAGAACTGATATATCAACAAAATACAGTCTTCCAAAATATAAGCATTGATTCAGACTGATACAGATCCATGGTTTGTATCTGTATCCCCACCCAAATCTCATGTCCAATTGTAATCCCCAATGTTAAAGGTAGGGCCTGATAGGAGGTAACTGGATCGCAGGGGCAGATTTCCCTCTTGGTACGGTTCTCATGACAGTGAGTTATTGCAAGATCTGGCTGCTTAAAAGTGTGTAGCACTCCCACCACCTTTTCTCTCTTTTCCTCCTGCTCCAGCCATGTGAAGCCTGGCTCCCCACTTTGCCTTCTGCCATGATTATAGCTTTCCTGAGACCTCTCCAGAAGCTGAGCAGATTCCAGCATTATGCTTCCTATATAGCCCGCAGAACCGTGAGCCAATTAAACCTCTTTTCTTTATAAATTACCCTGTCTCAAGTATTTGTTTTTAGCAGTGCAAGACAAACTAACACAAACACAGTGTATATTTACTGATTTATTTAGGTCTTTTAAAATATCAGCAACATATTGTAGTTTTCAACATACAGTTCTTTGTTTTGTTTTGTTTTTTGAGGCAAGAGTCTTACTCTGTCACCCAGGCAGGAGTGCAGTGTAGCAATCTCAGATCACTACAACCTCCACCTCCTGGGTTCAAGCGATTCTCTTGAGTCAGCCTCCTGAATAGCTGGGATTACAGGTGCACAACACCATGCCTGGCTAGTTTTTGTATTTTTAGTAGAGATGGGGTTTCATTGTGTTGGTCAGGCTGATCTCAATCTCCTGACCTCATGATCTGCCTGCCGTGGCCTCCCAAAGTGCTGGGATTACAGGAGTGAGCCACCATGCCTGGCCCAACATATAGTTCTTATACATGTTTTGCTGGATTTTTTTCCAAATAGTTTTAGAATTGGTAATAATACTACAAATGGTGCTTTTTTGAAAAAAGAATTCTGTTTCCAATTGTTTTATTTTACCTCCATTATTGGCTTACAAGCCTTTTATTATTTTTTAATGGTTCCCCTAGGGTCTAGGTTGGAATAACAACCCATTTGTATACAGCATAACAGCCTAATAGCTATATAATTCCATTTATCCCTTCATGCTTTCTATTACAATTGTTATATATTTTACTGCTATATAACTTTGCAAAATGTTGATGTTATTTAATGTCAATTATCTTTTTGAAGAATTAAAATTTTTTTTTAGATCAGTCTTCATACTTACCCACATGTTATGTTTACTACTTCTAGAACCCTTTCATTATTTACTTAGATACAAATTTCTATCTGGTATGATTTTCCTTCCACCTAGAGAATTTCTTTTAATATTTCTTGAAGTGCAGGGCTACTGGTAATAGGTTATCCTAGCTTTTGTTTGTCTGACAAAGTCATTTTGCCTTCATTTCTGAAAGGTATTTTTGTGGTACAAAGAATTCTATGTTGGCAATTTTACTTCCCTTCAAAACTTTAATGATGTCATTCCATTATCTTGCATAGACCTCCAGCTGACCTCAGCCGCTACACTCTGAAATCCACGGCCACATTTTCAGCAAGAACAAATATCTCACAGCTTTTCTCCACATTAACTGAAAGTAGCAGAAATAAGAACAGCTCATTTCTGAGGGGCATGGGACTCCGATGAGGAACAACTCTGACTTGAAGACCTTTCAAGGTATTGTACAAATTTCTTTAAATTACATGACAGCCTAAGACATTTCCATCCAACCTCCCCTCCCACTTCCCTCCACTGGGGATTAGACAAGCAAGCATAGCTCTCCCACACTCAGTTCCCGCCCCATGTTCTCTCATACAGTGAGTCTCCTAATGAAATCTTTGCATGTTTAATTCAGTCTTGGCATATGTTTCTAGAAGGACCCAGACTAGTAAAACTGTTCAGTTTTTTATTTCAGATAAAAAACTCACCTTGGCCTCAAACCCCTGGACTCAAGCAATCCTCCTGCCTTGGCCTCTCAAAGCACAGGGATTACAGAAAGAAGCTACCACACCCATCAAGAGTTTTTTAAAACTGAAACTGAAATCATACTAGATATACTATCTATCTATCTGTCTATCTATCTATCTATCTGATAGGGTTTCGCTCTATTGCCCAGGTGGAGTACAGTGGCCCATCCTTAGCTCACTGCATCCTCAAACTCCTGGGCTCAAGCAATCCTCCCACCTTGGCCTCCCAAAGTTCTGGGATTACTAGTATGAGCTACTGTACCCAGCCAGTTGTACTGTTCTTTAATAGATTTGAAATTTTTTCTAAATAAAAAAAGGCCTTTTCCACCAAAGATTACAAAGATACCATTCTATATTTTCTTCTATTAACTACATAGTTTTACCTTTCACAAATTTTTAATCCCTCTAGGGTCCATCTTTGTACATGGTATTAGATACAGATCCAGTTTTGTTTTCCTCTATGTAATAATTCAGTTTTCTCAACAGAATCTACTAAAAAATGTGTCTTTTCCCCACTGACTACTGAAAAATGATTTTTGGTCCCTCTTAAAAATCTAAGCAGAAAACGGATAAAAGGAATTAAAAAGTAAGAAAAAGAGAAAAGGAAAAAAGAGAAAAGAAACAGGTGCATATAGGAACAGTAAGACAACTTAGGTAAGGAAGCGCTAAAAATAAATGAAACTATTATCAAATTCCTGCAAACCAAGTCATATTTACTGAAGTATATAAGAAGTAAATGGCAAAGAATAACTAAATACCTATTTTGTTATGTATGTGCCCTCAAAGCTATTCAGGAAATGCCTAATTTACCTGGTACATAATGTCATATGCAGAAAGTGGTAAGACCACCTTCTACAGACCAACCACTTTGGGAACAACAAAAATGATGGCAAAGCAGACATAATTAGCATCCTGAAAACTATTTTACAAACTTTCATTGCATCCTGAAAACTATTTTACAGACTTTCATTTCTCAGGTGACTTTGAAACACTTTATTTCTTTGACTGATTTAGCACCTTGAATATATTTTAAAAACATGAATTTATCAAATTTGGAATCTTCATCCCATTACTGACAGTGAGCTAGAAAATGCAAGCTGTTCTCCATTTTAAAAAACTCTAAATACATACCTTTTATTTTCAGCCAAACTGGCTCCTTCGTCCTTCAGCTGTTTACTTTTCTCAGCACAGCCTTCAAGAATTTCTTTCCTACGTTTAATGGCATGAAGCCAGTTCCCTTCATCCTTGTCGACTACATCCTTCTCATCAGCAGCTTCAGCTTCAAACTGCTGGGAAGTGACCTTTGAGACCTTCTCGCCAATTTTCCTCTTCCACCCAAAGGAAGCCATTCTGGAAAATTACAAAGAAACGCCTTTAAAATTGAAACTCAGTCTCTTATAGAAGTACTCCAACCAATAGGTAAAGAATAAATAATTGGATTAGATTATCACCATTTTGTTAATTAGTGGCTCTATGCAATAGTAATCAATGACCACTAACATCACTAAGAAAGAAAAATGAACATCACACATCTCCCGATGGAAGTGGCATGCCACCCATGAAGTAAGTACTCCTACAAAACTTAACTCTGAATCAGATCAGGCCCCTACCATTTTATACGAATTATGGGATAAGGTGAAGCATGCTCAGTAACACATCAGAGATGCACATGGGAAAAAACAAAAACTAAAGAAAAATAAAGCTGGTTTCTTCAAAAAATAAACTGCCAGGAGAAAAAGAAGAGAAAGGGAGGTAACCCCTAGATTACAAGACACTAATACTAACCGGCCATGTGCAGTGGCTCACGCCTGTAATCCTAGCACTTTGGGAGGCTAATGCGGGTGGATCACGAGGTCAAGAGACCGAGGACCATCTTAGCCAACAGGGTGAAACCCTGTCTCTACTAAAAATACAAAAAAAATTAGCCGAGCGTAACTGTGCGTGTCTACAGTCCCAGCTACTTGGGAGGCTGAGGCAGAACTGCTTGAAACCAGAAAACGGAAGTTGCAGTGAGCTGGGATAGTGCCACCGCACTCCGGCCTGGCAACAGAGCGAGACTATGTCTCAAAAACAAAAAAAAAACAAAAAAAAACAAAAAAAAAGACATACCAACATAATATGTGAAACTTATTTCACTCCTGAGTCAAAAAAGCCAATGAGAGGAAAACCTGGGGTTTTTTTGTTGTTGTTGTTGTTTTGTTTTTTGAGACAAAGTTTCACTCTCGTTGCCCAAGCTAGAGTGCAATGGGGGGAATCTCAGCTCACTGCAACCTCCGCCTCCCAGGTTCAAGTGATTTTCCTGCCTCAGCTTCCCAAGTAGCTGGGATTACAGGCACACACCACCACGCCTGGCTAATTTTTGTATTTTTAGTGGAGACGGGGTTTCACCATGATAGCCAGGCTGATCTTGAACTCCTGACCTCAGATGATCCGCCCGCCTTGGCCTCCCAAAGCACTGGGATTACAGGAGTGAGCCACCCACCTGGCCAGAAGGAAACATGTATGAAATAGGAGGAATGAGAACACTGATTTGATATTTGATGATATTAAAAAATTATTGCTTTTTTAAAATTTTTTTATTTTTGAGATGGAGTTTCAAAAGCAAGCTAGTAAATACAAGAAAAAAAGAGAGAGATGGAGTTTCAATCTTATTTCTCTGGCTAGAGTACAATGGTACAACCTCAGCTCACTGCAACCTCTACCTCCTGGGTTCAAGCGATTCTTCCAAGCAGCTGGGATTGCAGGCACATGCCACCACGCCTGACTAATTTTTTGTATTTTTAGTAGAAAAGGGGTTTCACTTTGTTAGCCAGGCTGGTCTCAAACTCCTGACCTCAGGTGATCTGCCAACCTCAGCCTCCCAAATTGCTGGGATTACAGGCATGAGCCATTGCTCCCAGCCAATTGATGCTATTATTTCTTTGGTGTGATAATGGTATTGTAGTTATGTTTATAAAAAGAACCCTTAGCTTTTAGGAATACAAACTGAAATATTTCATATGAAATTATATGACATCTAGGAATTGTTTCAAAGTAATCAGTGGTTGGGAGTTCAGTGGAAGGGAAAATATAGGTGAAGTTAGATTGCTTTTAATTGATAACTAATGAAGTTGAGTGATGAGTATATAGTGTTCATCGTACTTTTCTCTTTCCTTTCATATGTGTTAAAATTTTCCATAATAAAAAGGTTTTAAAAGATTCAAACTTGGTAAATGACTTAACTCACAAAATTGTTGGGTAAATTTAAAAATAATAGATGTTGAACTGCTCTGTAAATCTGCAATGATATACAAATGTAAGAAATAAAGAGAGGATAATTGATAAAACAAAGTTAAAGGAAATCCTGAAATAATTCAACAAATATTTATTAAGAGAAGAGATTAACTGAGGGATCCGAAAATTTACTAGTATAGACAGTCTTCAAGATACTGGGAAATACCAGGAATTGTATATAAATTGTATAAAAAGGAGATTTTGATCAAATGATCAACTAGAGAAACAGAGAAAAAAGCAATGAACCAAAAAAAGAAAAGAAAAGAAATGAGCCAGAGGGCTTTATGAAACTACCAAAGAATGGGTGCTGTGGTAGTATGGGAGGAAGAGAAATGAAATCGTGAATAAGTTCTAGCAGGTATCAAAGTCTTCGTTACTGAAGCACATGGTTGAAGTGATATGTAAGTACAGGCCTACCTCAGAGTTGTTGCACAATCAGTTCCAGACCACTGCAATAAAGCGAATGTCAAAAAGTGGGTCATAGAATGTTTTGGTTTCCCTATGTGTATAAAATTTATGTTTATATTATACTATAGTCTATTAAGTGTTGTAGCATCATATCTTTAAAAATGTACATGCCTTGCCAGGTACGGTGGCTCATGCCTGTAGTCCCAGCACTTTGGGAGGCCGAGGTGGGCAGATCACAAGGTCAGGAGTTCGAAACTAGCCTGACCAACATGTGAAACTCATTTTAATATATCTCTACTAAAAATACACAATTTAGCTGGACGCGGTGGTGCGTACCTGTAATCCCACTACTCAGGAGGCTGAGGCAGTAGAATCGCTTGAACCCAGGAGGCAGAAGTTGCAGTGAGCCGAGATCACACTACTGCACTCCAGTCTCAAAAAAAACAAACAAAAAAAATTTACATGCCTTAATTTAAAAATTTTATTGCTGTGCTCGCTTCGGCAGCACATATACTAAAATTGGAACAATACAGAGAAGATTAGCATGGCCCCTGTGCAAGGATGACACGCAAATTCGTGAAGCACTCCATTAAAAAAAAAGTATATATTTTATTGCTAAGAAATGCCAACAATCATCTGAACCTTCGGTGAGTCCTAATTTTTTTACTGATGGAGAATTTTTCCTCAATGTTGATGGCTGCTGACTGATCAGGGTGGTGGTTACTGAAGGCTAGGGTGGCTGTGACAATTTCTTAAAACAAGACAACAATTGCCAGGCATGTTGGCTCACAGCTGTAATCCTAGCACTTCAGGAGGCCGAGGCAGGTGGAGAGCTTGAACCCAGGAGTTCGAGACCAGCAAAACCTCATCTCTACAAAATTTTTTTTTAAAAAACTAGCCAGGCATGATGGTACACATCTGTATGTAATCCCACCTACTCTGGAGACTGAGGCAGGAAGATCACCTGAGCCCAGGAGGTTGAAGCTGCAGTGAGCCACAGTCATGCAATGGACTCCACCCTGGCACCCTGGGAGAGACACTGTCTCAAAAAAATAAAAAGACAACAATGAAGTAATGAAGTTTGCTGCATCAACCGACTCTTCCTTTCACAAAAAACATTTCCTATGGCCTGCAATCCTATTTGGTAGCATTTTACCCACAGTAGAACTTCTTTCAAAATTGGAGTTGATACTGTCAAACCCTGCCACTGCTTTATCAACTAAGTTTATATAATGTACTCTAAATCATTTGCTGTCATTTCAACAATGTTAACAGCATCTTCACCAGGAGTAGACTGCATCTCAAAAAACCACTTTCTTTGCTCATCCCTAAGAATAAGTCTTCATCATTTTAAATTTTATCATGAGATTGCAGGAAGTCAGTCACATCTTCAGGCTCCACTTCTAATTTGAGCTCTCTTGCTATTTCCACCACATCGGCAGTTATTTCCTCCACTGAAGTCTTGAACCCCTCAAAGTTATCTATGAAGGTTGGAATCAACTTCTTCCAAATTCCTGTTAATGTTGACATTTTGACCACCTCCCATTAATCACAAATATTCTTAACAGTTATCTAGAATTAGAATCCTTTCCAGAAAGTTTTCAATTGGCTTTGCCCAAATGAATCCAAAAAATCACTATCTATGGCAGCCATAGCCTTACAAAATGTATTTCTTAAATAGTAAGACTTGAAAGTCAAAATTACTCCTTGAGTCATGGGCTGCAGAATAGACACTGTGTTAACAAGCATGAAAACAACATAAATCTCCTTGTACATCTCCATCAGAACTCTCTGATGCACTAATATTATGAAAGGAATCTTTTCTTCATGAGCAGGTCTCAACAGCAGGCTTAAAATATTCAGTAAAACATGATGTAAACAGGTCTGCCATCATCCAGGCTTTGCTGTTCCATTTATAGAACACAAGCAAAGTACATTTAGCATAACTCTCAAGGGCAATAGAATTTTAAGAATGGTAAATAGACACTGACTTCTATTTAAAGTTCCAGTTACATTAGCCCTCACAAAGGAATCACCCTGTCTTCTCAAGCCTTAAAACCAGGCATTGACTTCTCTGCAGCTATGAAAGTCCCAGAGAGGATCTTATTCCAATAGAAAGCTGTTTCATCTACACTGAAAATCTTGTTTAGTATAGCCAACTTCATCAATTATCTTAGCTAGATCTTTTCTGGATAACAACAGCATTTGTTGCTTTACTTTGCACTTTCATGTTATCAAAATGGCTTCTTAAACCTCATAAATGAAACTCTAATAGTTTCGAACTTTGCTTTGGCAGCTTCTTCACCTCTCTCAGCATTCACAGAACTGAAGAGAGTTACAGCCTTGCTCTAAATTAGGCTCCTGCTTAAGGGAATATTATGGCTGGATTGCCCTATCTAAACCACTTAAAGCTTCTCCGTATCAGCAATAAAGCTGTTTTGCTTTCTTAACATTTATGTGTTTACTGAAGTAGCACTTTCAATTTCATTGAAGAACTTTTCCTTTTCATTCACCACTTGGCTAACTGGTGCAAAAGGCCTAGCTTTCAGCCTATATTGCCTTTCAACATGTCTTCCTAAAATCATTTCTAGGCCAGACACGGTGGCTCATGCCTGTAATCCCAGCACTTTGGGAGGCTGAGGCGCACAGATCGCAAGGTCAAGAGATTGAGACCATCCTGGTCAACATGGTGAAACTCCGTCTCTACTAAAACTACAAAAATTAGCTGGGCGTGGTGGCGCACATCTGTAATCCTAGCTACTCAGGAGGCTGAGGCAGGAGAATCACTTGAACCCAGGAGATGGAGGTTGCAGTGAGCCAAGATCACATCACTGCACTCCAGCCTGGAAACAGAGTGAGGCTCCATCTAAAAAAACAAACAAACAAACAAATCATTTGTAGCTTTTAATTTAAAATGAGAAATGTATAACTCTTCCTTTCACTTGAACACTTAGAGGGCACTGTAGCATTAACTGGCCTAATTTCAATATAGTTGTGTCTCAGGAAATGGGGAGGCCTGAAAACAGGAAAAACAATGGTTGATAAAACAGTCAGAACATAAACATTTATTAATTAAGTCTGCCATTTTATATGAGCATGGTTTGTAGCACCCCAAAGCATTTGCAATAGGTAACATCAAAGGTCACTGATTACGGATCACTATAGCAGATATAGTAATAATAAAAAAGTTTGAAATATTTTTTTTTCTTTTTCCCACTGTCCTCCTGAAATATTTCAAGAATTACCAAAGCGTAGCACAGAGACATTAAATACACACATGCTACTGGACAAATGGCACTGAAAGACTTACTTGACACAGGGTTACCGTGCACTTGCAATGTGCAAAAACCCAGTATCTATGAAGCGCAATAAAGTGAAGCACAATAAAATGATTACTGTAATAACCAGAAGGAAGGTGAGAAAAAAAGTGAGGGTGGCTGTGAGGTCATTCACATGAAAGACCCATGATAATGGCAGAATTTGGAAAGGTAAGAAAATTGTGAGTCATATGTCTGAGTTCTTAATGAATATGAGAAAGTGCCAATAAATCACAGCAATCAAGAAACATATAGGCTGATATTAGGTGAACCACATGCTTTCCACAGGAACTGAGATTTTTTTTGTAAACCTGGAGGAGTAATGGATTATAAACTATGCTTGGGAACAAGGACAATGCAAACTCTCTCCCCAGGACAATCATAATAGAGGAGAACAAGTTTTCCATGTTTGGAGGTGACTATAAGTATCGTAGGGGAAGATGGCTGAAAACGGAAGTGTGGATACTATGGAACAGAAGTTAGAAGGCACACAGTGAGGACAACCTGAGAGGATATAGATCATCAGGAAGGACTCACAAGATATCAGTATAAGACAAGATAAAAGTCTTGTATTTATAATTATCCCTAATAGTAACAAGAATGATGACTACATTTTCTGGCTTCAAGATTTCAAATGAAACTTTATTTCTTTATTCATAATCTGAGGCCCCAGGCACTGTGAGGACCCTACTAATATGAAAGGAAACCCAGTGTATTTGCTGGAGGCAAATTATAATAAAATCATTGATCAAGGGAAAAAAGTAAAAAAAAAAAAAAAAACCATTGATCAGATCTGTATATTATATGAGGGGCTGTGATAGGGTGGGGAGGAAAGGAGAAAGTAAGAAACAGATTCACACATTTTTAAAAATTAGTAAGTCATTCAGACTCCAATTACCCTCCCCATCTTTCAACTCAAACCACTGTTATAAATGCTGGGAACAAGTATAGGTTAAGTCCCAAGATGGTGGCTCTCAACCATATGTTCTCAACCAATGTGTGTTCTCAACACACATTGTTGCCTCAGGTGTTTGAGCCATTCTCTTCCACAGAACCCTTGAGATCTTCTAGAGATCAGAGGCTGCATAGGACAGGACAGAATGAGGTTATGAGGGTGTGGGAGGCCTGATGGCACTAGAAATTCAACAAGTTTAACCTGAAAGAGGGGGACAAAAATACATTCCACTCAGACAAAAAGAAAAGAGTTAATATTGAGTGAAACATACAGGCAAGTTCAGGGACGGAGGGAAAGAAAAATGAGGAATTTCATGTCCCAAGCTTCCCATTTCTCCAGAAAACAGGGGCTAGTCATCTGCTCAAAGTAAAAGGAAAATAACAGATCCTCTGAGTTCTTGAGAAAAATGGGAAAGATCTAAATTAGTCAATGCGGAGATAAGAAAAAGCTGCAAGAGATAAATAGAAATACCAAACAGTAGTATTAAGGGCCCACTAGGGTGTAAAAGCATGAATCTGTTATCAAGGCCATTAGCAAAGTTTTGTATTTTTTTCAAAAGTGTCTGGAAACCACAAGAGTACAGTCAATGTCAAGACACGGTAAGTGCTACAAGAGTAAACAAAGGATCCCACGGCATCAGAGAAGGGACACTTGAGACTTCCTGGAGGACTTAAGCGTTGAAGAATAAAACCTAGCTAGGCTTTAAAAGGTGTGTGAATCCTAGAACATACACAAAACACTTTTTGCAAGGGAAAATTTAACGGTCTGTTGATTCAGATATCTTAAGTCGTATGAGTTTATTGTTCCTCTATGACTATCTGAACATGAAATTAAAACTTCTTATGAAGGAGGCTTTCCTGAGTCTAGTTAGAAGCAGGAGGTGTCAACATCCTAGATTTAACATTTTTTCACCAGAATAAGAAACCATGTGGGCAAACCACAATCACATCGGTTTTATGTTAAACTCATGAAACCAGACAAATTCAACCTTTTATACAGGATTCTATTTCATGAATGGCAAAACAATTCTAAACAACGACGCTGTATTCTACATTCCTGTACTGGTACGAGGATCCCTATAGTAGGCGCTCAATAACTGTTGATGGCTTGACATTTTGTCCAGCCGCCAGAGAGGGCTGGTCTTGGCTGCGTCTGAGGATGCAGCACCCAAAGGGAAAAACCACTACATGAACGAGGTCAGGAGGAAATCACCACAGCATCCTTCTGGGTGAAAGGAGGTTTTCGGAGGTGAGGAATCAAAGAAACGATCTACCCAAAAACGCCATCGCAAGAGAAAAACCAGCATTAGCGACTTTCCCTTCATTGGTCAACAATAATAAAAATGCTCAGAAAGGCTGCAGCGGACGTCACCCACGCGTGCAAAGGCCGCCCGGGGCCGCAGTCAACTCTCCAGCTGGGGGCGGCCGGCTCCGTCCCGCCCCTCCCACCGCGCAGGGAAGGTCGAGGCCGCGCCGCCCCGCGAAGGTGCCACAGCGGGCCCGACTCCCAGACTTGCTTGTCCCTGGAGACCAACCCTAGCGTCCAGGCTCTGCCGGATCCTGTCGGGTTTCAACTCCTATTTCCGAGGGTCCTTTCTCCCCTAACCTCGGCACCCACTCGCCTCGCTTTCCTCCACTTCTTCAGCTTCCACCGCCGACCGGGCAGCCCCAGTTACCTGATAATGCCTCCCAAGGCCCCGTGTTTACATTCCTACCCACTGGAAGGGGAAATTATCACGCCCAACTTCCTACCTGCCTGCCCTGGATGCCTGGTTTCCTAAGAAACGGGTTTGGCCTACCGCGGGGCGTCCGAGCAGTCCACGGAATCGAGCAAAGGAAAGACGACTCTCAGTCTTTCTCCTTCGCCAATCCCCTCTCCGGGACCACAAATCCCAGAAGTCACCGCGGCCGCTCCCACCGCATGACCTTCTGGGATTTGTAGTAGTGCCTCTAGCAGCAGGCCTGAGTGATCGCAGCGCAGGAGCGCGGGAAAATGAGACTGCTCCGGCTAAGGAGAGCATTGAGAGGGGCCGCCCCCGCGGTACCCTGCTACGTCGCGTCCAGTCAGTGGGGAATAAGATGAGGGAAAATTCAAAGGATTAGGATACGCTCCTGCCCCAAAGTGGTTTATAGCATAGCTGATGAGGTCGGCCAGACGCAGCAAGGCCAAACTCGGTTATAAAGAGCTCGAGGCGGCAGGGCAGGGAAGCTAGTCAGGGAGGCTGAAGTTGAACCGCAGGCTTCACGTGGGAAGTAACAAGTGAGTTGGACTGGAAAGGCAGAATTACCGCCTGAACGTAGCTGTGGGTCATGTCTTGAAAATAAATGAGCACATGTAACAAAGGTAAGCAAGACTGTTAATTTATCCAACTCTTGCCCAAAAGAAGACCCATTTTTGTAAAGCCATGCTTTCTCAGCCTCAGCGCCATTAACATTTCAAACTGGATAATGTTTTGTTGGGGGACGGGGTGTCCTGTGCATTGTAGAGTGCTTAGCTGTATCTCTGGTCTCTGTCCACGGGATGTCACAACCATAGCTGTGACAGCCAATGGTTTCCCTAGTGAAATTTCCCCTGGAAGAAAAATCATCCCCGGCACCCTGCCCCGTTGAGAACCATTGTTGTCGACCAACGACGGTCCTGAGGGTCACTGACACCCTTTAAAAGCCAAAATTATTCTCATACGAATAGGAACACGTGATTTGCCCTCTGCACAATGCACGCCCACAGTAAGAAAAATAGGCCGGGTGCAGTGGCTCACGCCTGTAATCCTAGCACTTTGGGAGGCCGAGGTTCCAGACCAGCCTAGCCAACATGATAAAACCCCATCTCTACTAAAAAATAGAAAAATTAGCCGGGCGTGATGGCACGTGCACCTGCAATCCCAGCTACTCAGGAGGCTGAGGCAAGAGAATCACTCGAACCCGAGGGGCGGAGGTTGCAGTGAGCCGAGATTGCGCCACTGCACTCCAGCCTGGGCGACAGAGCGAGGCACACTCTCA